ACCTTGCTCAAAGAAAATACAATTATCTGAACAGCACTGTAAGTCAATATCAGCATTTTAATAAATGGAACTGTAATGCAGCAATGAAATAACTGCTATCAAGAAAAGCTATCAAGAAAAATCTGATCAAGCCCTTTGTATTTAATTGAACATATTTTATTTTGAGAAAAATCTGTGGCTTTGTTAAGCTTGCCATGACCACACACACACACACAGAGTCCCTGCTGCTCTTTTAATTAGTCCTGTGGGATAAATTTAGTTTTTACTGTAAAACCTAGTAAATGAAGTGTGCATAATGATTTTGTTAAATCTTAAATTGCTCTTTTAATTAATTGGCAATTTCCTCAGCATACTGTACTGTCTACTGAAGTGACATTACTGAGTACTCCAAATGCTTTTCACACTACAGAAAAAAAAATTCATAGATACAAGAAACATCACTCCTCCATAGGAAGGAGGAAAAAAAAAAGAAATCACTGGTTGTAACAGGACTGGAAAGAGGTTAAGAGCCCTCAGTGCTTCATAAATAGATTTTAAAATAAAAAGGCTGACATGTGGCAATACAGCTTCTATATTGTAACATCATGACTTGGTCTCTCTTGACTTGCACAGCTCCTGGAGAAGCATGTTACAGGGATTAAATCCCTTTGAATGTTAATGTGTTCCTCTTTTGAACCACAAAGAATATTAATCCTCCTCTCCTCATCTACCAACAGCTGCACTGTTTTTTCCTGCTTGACATAGTGGAACCGGATAGCATGGCATGATTGACCTGAATGTAAATATTGCTGTTTGGTTTTGAACTGCTTACTTTTTGCAGAAATTTACAAACCTGGCATGAGTTTATGTGCAGCATAAATAAGAATAAGTGTTCAGGCACCTAGAAACCTGTTTCTAAAGAACTGCATCAAAAGAATTATAAAAATAATTTATTACCTATACAACCCTCTTGAACATTTACAGTGACTAGTACAGGAAGTCAGACTGGAATGTTCCCAGAGAAAGGGCATGCATGTGTGTACACAAATATACATGCATATATAAACACACAGATTATGGAAAACTGTGCGTTAAAACAAATAGCTACAGTTCAGTTCAGGCATGATTCCAGCCTTAAGTTTGGAGTCATACATAAAATCTTAATCAATCTCAACCCTACACATAATTCCCATTCAAGTACTTCATACAGTTTGTGAAAGGACTCCAATTTCAACAAAAGCTAAATAACACAGACAAGAACATGCAGGCTGACCATAAAACAAATCCACTAAGTTTCCATTATCATAATAAATATTTTCATGCATTTGAAGAGTCCTAAATCAGATCAACTGCCAGAGTGCTTTTCATGCAGATTTAAAGGTACAACTGACTGATAAGCTAATACAAAACCTGGTCTCCATATAGAATCCTTTAGAGTCCCTACCTTCAAAGCCAGGAAACAAATTTCATTATATTTAGTATTCTGAATTTTCACAATCATTTCCACATTTTGGCCACCTCTATTCTTTAAATTATTTAGGAATACCAACACTGCAGAAGCAGATCATATATAAGTTAATAAGAAACTAGCATAAATTATGTTCAGAGAGATTATGCTGATTAATTAACAGAAGTTTCCAATCCATTAAAAAAATCCTCAAAATACCATAATCTTTCTGACACTGTACTACAATATTGAAGCCTTTGGCATAAATTATTATTTACACTTAATGCATACTCTGTTAATGCACTTTTCTTTTCAAAAATCATTGTACTATTGAGAATGTCTAACAATGTTACGCTTCATTTATTTCTGTAGTTCAAAAGAAGCCCAACCTGTTAGACAGTGTACAGGCTTAAAGTGATAAGACAGAAAAGAGCAAGTATTCATACATGACCTGGCCGAGGAACTTAACATGACAACTGCAGTGCACTTTTAGAATAAAGATGCTTAACAAAAAATCTGATACCTCATATTTATGATATGAGCTGTAACTAAGGACTGAGTTATGAACTTAATTTAAAAATAATCACAAAGCTATTTTAAACATGAATATGACTGTATTTAGGATTCTATTTATTTAAAAATTGATTTATGCATATGTACTCTTTTCAATTCATGTTGGATATTTTAATAGAGATAAAACTCTGTATTACCTTGTATCTTCCACTGAGGTACCACTACACACAAGAACAGAAGGGTAACAGTCTGCTACATGCATGGAGACTCTTACTCCAGGGTTAAAACAAAGTAATTCAAGGTAGGTTGAATGTGCAGTAGTGGATTTATAATCTGAGACAGAAACTTGCATGAAGACAGTTATGTAGCATTTGACATGTAGCACCCTGCTACCCAGCTGTCCATTAAAAAATAAGCACATTCCACTGAAACAGTTATGGAAAGAGAGATGTGGTAAAAAAAGCGTAATCTGGAGAAAGAAAAGCATAAAAGCATGAAAGATGACAACTTTTGGATTCTAAAAGAATTCAAAAGTGTTTAAATATCACTGGAACACTGGATACAGGAAGCACTGGAACAGGCTGCCCAGGGAGGTTGTGGAGTCTCCTCTGGAGACATTCAAGACCCGCCTGTACGCCTTCTTGTGTAATTTCGTTTAGGTTCCTGCTCTGGCAGGGGGATTGGACTAGATGACCTTTCGAGGTCCCTTCCAATCCCCAACATTCTGTGATTCTGTGATCATGCTTGGGTCAGACAATATGAAAGTTTAAGTCAGAAAATTTAGCATCCAGTTCTGCTATAATAAACAGTTTTAATACTGAAAACTTATTTTGTTCTTTATGACTCACAAAGCTGAACCACAGCCTAAGCCCTTGCTTCCTTGTAATTAGAATATATCAAATACAAAACAATGCTGAGTTGGTAAGATCATATAGAAGGGCTTTGTGCAAAGAGTCTGGAGTAACAAAAAAAAAATGGAACTAGACTTCATTCTAGCTCTTCAGGTCTTGTAACACTAGATCTGATCCCTATTAACACTAATCATACATTCTCTAGTCTGGTAAATTGGACTTAAAAGTGAATATAGATGAAATGAATATCCACCTTACTGCACTTCACACAAGTCTGGCAATTCAGAAATCATATTAAGACAAATAATTGTTTAAGTATCACATAGAAGTTAAAAAACGTTGTTTATTTAGCTATTCTTCATACAGAAGCACAGACTCTGGTGTACTCTCAATTCAAGGAAATAGGGGGTAGAAAGGTGAGAAGATGAAGAAAAGTGCTTCACATAGCTTAACACTGATCCATTCTAGCAGTTAAGGAGCAGCTTGGAACAATTCCAAAGGCTAAAGCAGCTCTCTTTCCAGTTTTGCATGGACAGATGGAAGATGACCACATTTCAGGATTTCAAGCAGTGCTTAGGCTTGGAATATCTAATATGTTACTCCACTTGTAGTTTAAAAAATGAAACAAAACAAAACAACCCCCCCCCCCCCCAACTTATTTGCTTATTTCATGTAGTATTTGATTAAAAAGCTTTGGGGATAACAAAATGTACCATATTAGGGAGGGTGGGGGGAAAGACCCTGAACAAAAAGGGGAAAGACAATAAAATGGAAGAACTCTCAGAATCTGATTGATGTAGTAGCACTGCCCTGCCCTCTGTGGGAACTCTTCCCCTTTGCCCCCCAACTTATGTAGAGCTTTTATATAGCTGGATACAATTATTCTATCTCCTTATAAATGTTCATGCAAAATGTGGAAGTATGCTGGTTTTTTTCAGATTAAATTCTAGCTGTTTCTCTGTATCAATGCTTCTGTTTATTATATCTTAATCTACTGTTTTTTTTCACAATTTCATGGGATTAAGGTGTCCCTGCTCATGGCAGGGGGGTTGGCATTAGATGATCATTAAGGTCCCTTCCAAGCCTAACCAGTCCATGATTCTACAAGATCTTATACTCCTTATTTATCTGTTAATCTGTCTTTAAACTTGAGCATTACTTACACATGTTACAATGCTAATGACATGACACAGCCTTTTAAGGGTCACCATGAGAAATTCTGTATGAGATCCAGGTACATCTTATTACTCAAAACATGTTATTTAGTAGTTAAGGTTAATGCCATCGTGTGAATTAATACGACAGAAATGTAATAGATGCTTTCTTTAAATTTAAGTGATAGAATCCTATGCTGTCTTTGTTGAAGGTCTCGGGGTGAGTCATCCTTTGTAGTCCTTTCTGCCACGGATCTCCAACAGATCTTTTTTAAAAATAAATACTAATGGTTTTAAATTAGCATGTACTGTAAAAAGGATTCTTTTAAAACTCAGATAATCGCAGAAAAGTAAAGAGGCACTGGAGGACAAGAGCACAAAGGTTATAAAACTACTACAGAAGTTGATTTGCCTTGCTCTTTACTAATCAGGGTCACCAATAGAAGTGAGAATATAATAAAATAACATACAGTGTTGGTAGGACACATTACTTTATCCTCAAGGGAATTTCTTTTGCAGTTGTCCTCTGAGTTTACTCTTGCTGCCGTGGCATATCTTATTCTTTTCACTAGCTCAGAACCAGGGTAGAACTTAAGAAGCTATCAATGGAAAGAATTAAAAGTAGACTGTAAACTGAAATTATGCACTAATAAAAGGAACACTGAAATGTGTAACTTAATTTTTTCACGCTTTACAGTATTGTTAGATTTTAAATCATACCATCTGTGTAGTGAAATGGCGCTCAATGAAATACCAGTTGTAAGCAGGAAGTCAGAAGAAATTTACAACTCATATAAGGTTTCCTTCCAGGCAGAGAAGAAAGAAACAGCAGAAGAGCTTAAGTCTGTATTGAGAAGACTAAGATTTTTAAGTCTATACCCTTTCTAGTTCTATAAGAGCTATACAAGCTAAGAATTGCCTTTCTTATCCCAATCCATCCTAGCTTTCCTTTTTGCTACCAACTTATTTGCTTAGTTCTGTTTCAGAAATTCAGATAACCTTTTTCTCAGGTATAACATTGAAAAATATTTACTAAAGGAAAAAATTTCAACTTACCTGATGAAGATCATTGCCCAAGACATATTCCTGAAAGTAACCCGGTGCAGCGGATGATGCTCTGATGGCCTGCCACAGTTTATACTGACAGCCTCCAATATAATGAGACTTAACACCAGGAAAGTGATTGTAGTTTCTAAAAACAAATGCTTTCAGTGGTGTTCCTCTGTTTACAATGGTGCTTACTGCGGCTACCTAGTGGAACAAAAATTATATGTGATTATAATAATAACAGTAATATGATAATGACAGCTTCCCACAATATGAAATTCAATTTATATATTAAATGTGTCTCTGGAATCCTACTCAGTTCATTATCTGTTTATTTTTTTGTAATGTTTATCTAAACTTTAAAAAAAGTGAAAGTATAAAAACCCCCCCCCAAACGACAAAAAACAAAACACCTTAAAGAACATGCTATTTTTAACCTGAAATTAATCGTTTCCACTGGCTATTCTCTTTCTACCAATATTTATCCATTGATATTTAAACAAAAGCTGGTGTCATCTATAAGATCTTTAAACGTTTTGCCTTTATTAATTGTAGCTCATTTTCAAAGGTCTGTAATCAGCAATGCAACAATGCCATTAAATAAGAATGTTAGAAACATCGATCAATTTCTTTCTCCAAGACAATGGTTACTTAATACTGTAACCCAAGTTAAAGGATTGCAGGAAGAATCACTCAAAGAAAAAAAACAAAAGAATCAAACATAAATCTTTCAAGTAAGGACACTGAAATATCATTAGCAAAAAGTCTCACATGTAAATCTAAGTGAAGAGCCAAAATCATATTTCCGTAAAACAAAACATATGATTGCAAAAAAATCACATCTTACAGTTACAATCACACGAAGTGAGATCACCTATAATTACAGGTGAGTGTTAGAACATGCAAGACCTTTTAGTGATGATGCACTCAGCATGGCTGGTATTGTTTGAAACAATACTCTCTAGCAGACAAGTGGGTGTTCAATTTTATTTTGTTTACTATTTTACAAAGTAGAGTATTTTTGTGAAACATTACTCAACAGCACTAGCAGCTGACACTGTGATATCACTGCATTTGTTTCCATTCTTTAGCTACATAATTATTTATGTTTAATTATTAATTAAACATAATTAATAATTAAGTTAAACATAATTAAACATAATTAATAATTAAGTTAAATTATTTAATTCACAGTAAATCCATGTTTATGAAAAAGAAAACAAGAGAAGTGTAACTTCCATATGACAACGCAGAAGCAAAACACACGCATGATTTGTACTACATCATTTGATAGAGGAAAAGTTCCCTGGTTTTGTCAAAAGGAAGGTTTGGTTCTAAGCACTATTAGAAGCAGAAAGAAAAAGAAATTGGGAAAAATTAATAGAAAACTTATCAAACTGATGCTTCAATTTATTTTTTGGTAATACCCATATACACTTCTACTTCATGATGCAGCCTTAAGTTGTAAATTGCTGAGCACCTTCTGTAAAAATCTACCTTGCCATGAATTTAACAGCAGCAGAACGTACAACTGCATATTTTATTTTAATTTTGCTGTGCCTTGTAAAGGGCCACCACTGCCAGCACTACAAAGCTATTACTGGGAATAGCTAGTTTCAACTCTATTTATATTCACATTTTAATACTGAAGAACATGGAAGGAAGCCAAAGATCCTGGTTCAAAGATAACTTTCAAGTCAATGTAGGATAGCTTCTCTCTCAGAAAGCAACATACCACTCCAGCCTTTTCATGTCCTTGTTTTAGACATGGACTAGGAACACAGTCAATCAAGCACGTTTCTATGTTTAGAAAAATGTGAATGTCTTCCATTTAACACTAAAGCATTGGATACAGTGCTATGACACCAAAACACCTGTTAATTACAGATTGTTCTGAAAGATGTGCTATTATATTTCTCTTCTTTCTTCACACCCTATCCTTCACCAAAAATATAATACCCATGCTTTCTCATCTTTCACTCTTGTGCTGCTGCTGTATATATAACACCCCTCCAATTAACTGTTGCCTTTTACATAATAGAGGAACAGTGGAGATCTTGGGGCCTGTGAACATGACCGGATTAAACCTGGTTATCAGATAAAGTGAGGAGAAACCCTGTTCTCTCACCATACGGTTACACAGATCACAGCTGGCATGACAGGATCTCCAGATAGTACAATCCCCTCATATGAAAAAACAAACTTGCGCAACTCCAAGAAGTTGACCTAAGTATTTCTCTGCTTATAAGCTTTTTAACATCTCTGCAACACATTCTAACTTAAACTATATAAACATATGAGAAATTGTTGCAGAAATTTAAGAATCTAATGAATTTTTATCCTTTGAAATCATGGGTTCTCTCATATGGGAGCTTGGAGAGCGTATCAACACTCATGCTGTTTATCCAGTATTCTTCCAGGGACAGTATTCTTACTCAGAACTCTTAAAAGAACTTGTGGAACACACAATTACTATTTACCTTCAAAAGCTGTACTTACCTTTGGACATTTGGAATTCCTTGCAGTCTCAATCATAAGATTTGAGCCCATCTTTTCTCTACAAGTAAGTAAAAAATTGAAAGTGGTCCATAGTTTAGCATGAATAAGAGACATATATTTCTATCATTTTGACTTCTAAGAACTTTGCATTTAAAAGAAGCAATGCTTGGATTTCATGTCAATAATCACATTTCTGTGGTTCTGTATTTCAAACTTTTTAGGAAATAAGTCTGAAGAGTGGTTGAAGTCTTGATACAGTTACTCACTTCACTACATACTTAACCACTTTACTATGTTAAAAAAAAAAAAAAAAGAAATCAAGATCTTCATCAAGTAGTCTTATAAAAATTAAAATTACTCTCCTGAACTATTATGAAAACAAAAGCTAAAGGAGCCGTTCTACATGATTTAGAAGAAAGTTATAACATATACATGTAATCTTCCACAACAATAATTCAATATGCATTTAGCATCCACTTTTCAGGTGGAAATCTTTTCATTTTTTCATATGCATACATTTTTATAAATCCAACAGTGCAATCACACAAGTGGTCAGTTTGTAATTCATCATCACATCAGCATTAGTGTCAGTATTCTAATTGCTAACTAGGATACAGTTCTCCTGCATAGTGCAGGAGTCTGAAGGATATCAGCATACTCACTAATAATCTCATATCAGCATCTATTTCAGCTTTGATATGCTTACAGTAAAGGCAGAAAACTCTACAGAGTGAGTGCTCATCCATGATGATTCCAAACAGACTTTCACTTAAATCAGCAAGTTTGCTCCCTTCCCTTGAACACAGCCCACACAGACACAGGTGGGGCACCTACCTTATTCTGCAAAGACAGTTTTCAGTACTGCCATGCTTTTTAAGTAAGGTGATTCCATGTGTTGTTGTTAAGAGACCATCCACCTATAGCTCGCACTGCTGTGACAGTAGGTAGTAATGCTTCCACTGTTAAAAATACCACCTTTAACAGTCTAGTCAGGTCAATAGATAAAAAAGCTCTAAATGCTACAGTGGCAGTAGGCCTCAATGTAGACAGTAAACTGGAGGTAGGATAATTTACTGTTCCATTACTAGTGGATATCCGTGCTTGAAGAACGGCTGTGTACAAGACCTTAAGAAGGAAGAAGAAAGGAGGACAGCTTCTAGTCCTATGATCAACAACTGCTGCTGACACAATCCTGACATCAATAGCACTATTTTATTTTATTTTTTCCAATAAATGCACTAATTCCAGTCTCGCAGTCACCAACCAGAAGGGCAAGAGTGCCACGTGCACTCACTATTTCATTACAGAAGGTGAGGAAAGCACACAGAACTATGAAGTAGGAACATTCAGAAACGGACAGAGGTGAGATATGAAAGACATCTACTGATTTGCATCACTTTCACCTACTACTTCTTAAATATCTGTAATAGACTTTTTTTTTCCCCACAGACCCTGAATGCAAAGATTAAAAAACTGCATAAGCAATATCCACTGCTTAATTATAGGAACTGTCAAACTTAATAATTATTTTCTCACATCTTGTTTCTTATAAAGGCCAGGAACTGATGCTTCAGAGTAGTTACAAGAAATCCCTTAAACTACTATGCAACCTTAGACATTATGGTCTAAAGATAAAAGTTTAATATCACCTCCAAATTTATTTTAGTCTTGTTGCTAACATTAATAATGCAACTGTGTATTACATAAATAGCTCTGTCAAGCCTTACCATTCAATTATTTTTTTTTACTGGAGTCGTAACACAATTAATTCCACAGTTTATTCACATACTGTGTTAAAAGAGAAAGTCCTCTAATTTTAGTTTTATTGAATAGTCCTTGTTGTTTAAGAAAAGAGGACAACAGTAATTCTCAAGATATCTTACTATCTCAAATTACTGCTTGAATTTGTCTGCTTTTTAAATTAAGGATAAAGAGACCTAATCCCTTTGAGTGAGTTGTTGTCTTTAGGTCACTGGCTACTTTTTACCAATCTTGTAACAGAAGCATTCTCTAAAATGGGGTAACTGGGACTGTAGATTGTATTTTAAAATGAAACTGTGTTATGGATTAATAGAACGGTATTTTTCAATCCCAACCATCACACACTGAATCATCTTGTGTGAGCACAAGCTTACAGACGTTTCATTAATCTGTCGATGACAACACCCAAATCATTTTTGGCATTAAAGTTAGTGTAAATCCTGTAAGTATTTTACATTCTTCCACTCATGGTTTATTACTTCACACATAATTTCATTTGACATCCTATTTTTCCATTTATCTGTTTTGTTTGTGTCTGTAACCCGTGTCCTCTAGATAAGATCTGCCTAAACAAGACTCCTTTAAAAATGTTGCTCTTTTATTGCTTCAAATCACTAACATTGCAACACTTACTTTAATAATGCTATGAAGAACATACTGTCAACTCCCTCCTAACAACAACAACAAAAGTACCAGGAAACTATGACATCTTTATGAAACCTACAGGAGAGACTTATATTGCACGTTCCATAAGGTTACAAAGCATCTGACTGGTAATGCTAAATCAGTTAAGTATGTCTGGAGTGACTAACTGGTACAGAATGCACTGCCTGCCTAGTCACTGGACAGCAGTCTCAATTTACACATTAACTTGCATTAACAAATACTGGTTTGAGGTGTTATTACTTGTAATCCCAAACACATGCATTATGCATCTTCCTCCCAACAGAGGGTGTATAAACTTTTATTCTGCCCTCTATACAGTGCTTGACTGCTTCTCAAGATTACAAATTCCCAGTATGGGATTTTAGTTAGCTTGTGAACTAACTAGCTTTAGTTAGCTAGCTGCTCACCAGATTTCTTCAGTAGTTTCTCAAGATAGTATGAAAGAAAATCATGTATGTAAAAAAGTGTAAAAAAAAAAAAAAAAAAGCTCCAGAAAACTTGGAACTATAAGCCAGGTTCTTCTTACAAATATAATATAACATTACATAGACTGATGTATGCTAACTATAGTTTTCTGTAAAAAGTGATAAAAGTAGCTGTTTAAAACCAGACACAGAATCACAGAATTGCCTAGATTGGAAAAGATCATTGAGTCCAATAATCAAACTGCAATTCGAGGAATACGTAAGAAGAGTTAAAATAAACATATGAGGCAAAGTCAACTCCCTACAGCACTCAGAATAAAATAGTTACTTAGCCAAAATTAGTTGTGATTTTCTGAAGCTGAATTTATAATATACTTCATGAGTGCATGCAACATTAGCCTAATGCAACATTACCTTCATTATTTTCAGCAAGAACACTTTCTGACAGAAAATAATACTGCCAATATGGTGGTAGGGCTAAATGTATATTGCATGCCTGCATATTGTAAACTGATATTTTCAAGCAAGGCTGATGAGTCTACTACCATTTAAACAACAAAAACCCACCCAGCACAAGTAAGGCTTTTAAATTAAAAAAAAAGAAAAACAAACATAAAGCATTTTTCCCATGCAATGACTGAAAGTTAGACCTGACCTTCTTATTGCCAAAAAGAGATGCTATATAACCTTTCCATTCCCTTCTTAGTTCTAGGCTTCCACACCACAAGGAAGTCTGCACAAACCCCTACTGTTTTGACAAAACATTATGCAGGCATAGCATCTCCCTTCAATGCTGCAGAATTAGGTCAACAAAAAGTCATTTGTTGATCAGTAAATTAAAATTTTAAATTTAATCTATGGATAATATAGTAATTGCCTGGCTTCTGTCCATTGCACAGGAGTAGAGTGCTTTACCTCCAGCTTAAAGAATAACAGCATTTTAATTAAAGGCATGTAAAATACTTTCACATAAGGTAATTCTGATTTTCACAAGATTTGGGCAGAGGGGGAAAAGAGAAAAGGCAGAGGAAAAAAATATCTTTTCTAAAAAAAGAGGAACTCCAGATATGTGAGCAGAAGAACTCTGGATATTCATATTCATATTTGATAAACACATTTATTCCTGAAAATATGAAGAGCACAGAGAAGTGGTGCTTGGAAGCCTCTCTGTCCACTTCAGCACAGAAGTGAGATGATTAAAACTCAGGCAGCACAGGTATACCCACTATAACGTCCAGAAAAAAAACCTCTTTCAATCCCAGAAAAAGCATTAATTGTGTTCCCAAAGGAACTTGTGATTACTTATCCAAAGAAGCTTTTTACCATTTTATATTTGCTCTCAGAGAAGGTTTTTTCAGTTCTTTCCATAGCAGTGCCAGCTTCCACTGTTTGGGAAACTATAACATTAGTTTGCTAAAAATTATAAACAATGAAATTATAAAAAAAAAAGATTAATAAAATGAAGTAATAAAATTTGTAATTAATATTAATAATTTTTTCCCGCAACTCTTCCTGAATAGCCATTAATGCACTTATGTACACATCTATGAACAAATACTGTTTCATTGGCAACTCTGACACAGCAGCAATTTTTTCATTGCCAACCTTACAGCTCATTTCCCTTTTCAAAGAAAGGGGCAATGGGCAAAACCTCTCAATACAGCAGCTAAGATTAAAAATCCCTACTACAGCACATTATTTCTCACTGTCTCCTTTAAGAAAAAAGGCACAGCAGGTGGCTTGTAAAATTTGTAGCAGATCTATAATGAGTGAGATCAAGCAGAGCTGGCAAGCCTACAGAAATATAATCAGAAACCAGTGCACTAAAGCCTACTTTTTTCCCCAGAAACAGAAATCATTACATTAAAGGCTTTCAATGTTTTGGTAAACATGAAAACAGCTATTTCAAAAGAATGAGAGTATATGCTAATCCTTTCTGGTTGTTTTAAGAATTAGCTTACCAGTGAAAAAATAACAAAACCAAAGACTCTCAAGACATATTAATTATTTTTCAACTGATCATTTTTTACTTACTTGAGCATTTTCTCCCATATATCACTGTCATAAAAGGCGTGACTCCAACCCATTTTGACTGTTCCAACAATGACATTCTGCTTAAAAACATCCGACCCTAATTTATGATACAATTCTTCACAATCATCCAGAGGAATATGGAACAACCCCAACATAAAAGCTAATATAGCTCCTGAAAAAGAAATATTCTGAATTGTAAAATACAGCCTGGAGTAAGATTATAAAAATAGATTAACATTTAATGTAGCTCATAGGTTAGCAGAATATCTGTTGTGAAAAAGGAAGATCAATTGACATTTATCACTAAATTCCTGTTAAAAAAAAAAAATAACAAACTATGTTTTAAAAGGACACATACAAGATAGGAAGAGCCTAATTTAAAAAACAAAACTATAAGAAGTTCACAAATGGCATTATTTCATTCTGCAGATTTCATCCCTGCAAACAAGGATATGGTAGAAAGCATATTAAATCCACAGGTTTATTTGGAAAGAGAAAAGAGTAAGAGAAATCCATGCTGTCATTACTTGCTACCTGACAAACACTGAGTCAGTAAAGAAAAATTCTAGGAAAATTCAGTTAAAACAAGGGAGTTTTGACTAGCTTGGAATACATTTGGTTGCAACCATTTATAATTAGTCATTTATACATACTGCCATCTAGTGTGTGCCTAAAAAATTATGAGCCACCCTTGTAGGAACACAACAACAGTATCCAAAGAGCATGACTGCAGAATATCATCAAAAAGACTATGGAAAAATACAATTAATGCAGCACTACTACTACTTAATATATTAAACTGAAAGGGGCATATACAAACTAAATCTAATCGTGTAATACTGTGAAGACATGTAATTAAGCATTAGGAATAAATGCTTTTTCCAATTTGGAAATTAATGCAACAGGTTTGAATAGAATTAATTTTAAAAGGAGTAATAAGACTAAAACACATATGCAGAAAGAACTACATAAACTTACAGATGACTTAAAAGGAAACATGGCTTTAAAGCTTCTTTTGCTCCCACAAACTCCACCACCATGACAGCCGTGTCAGTGAATCGATGTTCTCCATTTGTTAAAATGTAGCACATACTTTTATTATAACCTGGGCCTACTTGACACAAAGTTTCATCAAGAGAAATTCACTCAACTGCCAAATTACAAAATGGCTCCATTTAACACTAATAACGGAGAAGCATCATTTTTCCAGGTCACACAAACCCTCTGCAACCTTCTTTTCCTCTTAACACTCTAGCACCAATTCTATAATATTATGCATTTGCTATTTTAGTGAACAGTTTCATAGCCAAAGAGACAAAATTCATACCAAATGCAAACTCATTTCCAGTTCACCTGAAAAACAACACCAAAAACTGCAGTCCAGGTCAGCACACAGGTGGCAGTAGATAATATCAGAGTCAAGGTACACATTAAAGGCACTTGCTGAAATGAGCTCCATGGTAACAAGACACTCACAGGACACTAAGGTCAAAATCAAAGATGTAGTGCAGGCTCTATCAGATGGTCCAGTGAAAAAGTTACTGATTCTTCCATTATGTCCTGCTCTCTGTATTACAGACTCCTACACTTCAGTCACCATCTCAGCCTTGATGGCCAATACTTCAGAGGGAAAAATATCTGAATAAAACCTGGAAGGCTAAGGAGCACATCTTGAAGAACACAGGGATACAGTTGGCTAGTAAGACACACTGTAGGCAAGAATATAACCTGAAAGAGAAAAATATTCCTTCCTTATTCAGTACTAGCAAGACTTCAGCTGAAGTGCTGTATCTGGACCTGAATTACATTCTTCAAAAAAGATGTGGACCAATTGAAAAAAAGGAAAAACCACACCAAAAAGTCCCCAAAAACAATCACAGGTCAAGGAAATCCATCTGTAAGGAAAGCCTGAGTAAAAAGGCTATGACGATAGCCTTTAAATGCACAGAAGGCTGCTGCAAAGAGAAAATAAAGAATCTGTTATCCATGCTTCTGGGGAGTCAGGACAAGAGAAAACAAATCTGAACTGCAACAGGAAGAGCCACACTAGACATTTGGGTATTTTTTTCCCCAAATGTAAACACAGCAGAATCTGTCCTAGCACAGATTTTCTGAAGAGGTCTGACATGATTCAAAATCTTAGAAAATTGTCAATAGTGAAACATGCACAGCTGATCCTTCCCTTAGGAAATGTGATAACCTAAGGACACTTCCAGCTCTTTAATACCGTGACTTGACTTATTCATGAGTTCTTCTGAAAAAAACACTTCTTCTCTGAGAAAGGTTTTCAAAATGCATTTCAAAACTGAAAAGAAATCATGGGAAAAAAAAAAAAATCAACACAGAGATGCCAGCTTTGTTTAAGGAAGCTCCTCATCTGCAAATCACTGAAGGCTGAGAGGGGTACTAGCCCTATGCTGGTCTTAACAACTTGGAGGAGTATTTTGGGAGGATATCCTATGTCAAGTGCTCATGCAAACTTCACATACATCCAAAACTGATGATCAAAGAGACCAAATTCAGGTGCCTTTTTAGTAAAATGCACTGGAAAACAATATACTTAGAGAATCTTTAGCCACAATATGTCAATGATCAAAACTCTCAGACCATGCATCTGAATGCCACACTAATGATTAGATCAATATGAAAATGTAGGAAAAAAGTGTGTGTTTAAAATTCTTGGAGCAGGGCAGTATTTGAAAATGTGGTGGCATGCACTTCACCTCTTAGCATACTCTTGATGTTACAAACTGCTCCCTGTGACTGAATTATAAGCGCACCACTACTGAGAAGTATCTTTGATATATTAAGAGATCAGGTTGTGATCAGGAGATTAGGTCAAGAACAACAGGCCTCTCTACCAAAGAAAAAACATGTTTATCATGGTTGAAGGAGACATTAGAGAAGTGTTTGGTTAGTGAAAACAATCCCAGTTCTCCAGACCCTTCACCACCTCCATTACCCTTTGGACATGCTTCAGCACCTCAATGTCCTTCTTGCAGTGAGGGGCCCAAAACTGAACCCAGTACTCGAGGTGCAGCCTCATCAGTGCCGAGCACAGGGGGACAATCACTTCCCTAGTCCTGCTGGTCACACTATTTCTATACAGGCCAGGATTCTGTTGGCCTTCTTGGCCACCTGGGCCCACTGCTGGCTCATGTTCAGCCGGCTCTCAACCAGCGCTAAGAGACTACTAAGTAAATCTCTGGAAACACAAACATTATATCTAGTCATGGCGATCTGCATTTAATGTTATTTCTGAATTAAACTGTGTGTAAGGTAAGTATAGTGCAAACAAAATGAAGAATCTGGGTTTCTAAAGGAAACTGAGCTATGGAATTACAGCATCTCTCTTACATTAGAAATCAGCATTATGCTGCTTCTGGTCTAGCACCAAAAGAGATGACTGTCTTTTTAAAAGAAACTTGTGCTTTAGAGTTTCCTGCTTCCTAGGGAGGAGTAACTTGTCTTGAGTCACAGAACAATTAAGGGAGGGAGGGACCTCTAGAGGTCATCTAGTCCAACGTCCTGTTCAAACAGGTTCAATCAGAACAGGTTACTCAGGACTTGTTCAGAGTTTTGAATATATCCAGGGATGAACATGCCACAGCATTTGCAGGCAACTCCTTCCACCATCTGACTATCCTTGCAAGGAAAACATGATTCTTCATACCAAATTGTAAATTCCCATATTCCAACCTGTCTGTTGGCTTTTCTCCAATCTCTGTGCACCTTCAAGAAGAGTCCAGCTCTGTCTTCTCTGTATTTTCCCATTAGTTGAAACATCCATAAGGCCTCCCCTCCGCCTTCTCTTCTTAAGGCTGAATAAACCCAGTCTTGCACTCTCTCCCTGTATCTGTCATGACCTCCAGTTCCCTGATCATCTACTTGGCCCTCTGCCAGACTCACCCAGCACATACAAGAACACACCCAACAGATTAAGGGTCTACTGCAAAGCCCAGAACTAGACATATCGTGGCCTTTAATCTGTTGGTTGTGCATACAAGTCAGTATGTGGTCAGCCACCTTTGCTGCAAGGGTACACTGATGATTCATGTTCAACTTGTTCCAGGTCTTCTTCTGCAAAACTGGTTTCTAGCCAGTCAGCCCACCTCAGATGGAGGGCTTGGTACTTGGCTTTACCAAACCTTAGGTGGCTCTTGTCAAGCCATTTCTCCAGCCTGCCTCCACAGGCTGATCTGAACAAAGGGCATCACTGTACTGACTGCTTCCTCTAATTTAGTATCATCCAAGATCTTGCTACAGGTGCACTCTGTCCTGCTGTGCAGGTCACCAATAAAGACAGGAAACATTGGCCCAGTACCAGTCCCTGAGGGATGTTACCTTAGCTGTCCGTAAAGCCCCATAAACAACTAAGATATTTGTGCACAACATGGAGGTTTCACATTCATTGACAAAATGATAGATCAGTTTGAAGTTACAATTGTATCACAAATCACCCAAAATTCTTATTCAGAAGAAAAAAAAAAAAAAAGACTTTAGAAATCACACCTGTACTTTCCCAGCTTACATTCAAAGTCAGAAACCTGCAAGTTCTGCAAAATCTATTATTCTCAGATGTTCTTTTTATATATTGATAGCAAAATTCCAATGTGTGGCTTACTTACCTGTGCTTACACCACAAATGTAGTCAAAAAGTTGATGAACCGGCTTTCCAGTTAGTTCTTCTAGTTTCCGTAGAGTCTGAAGTGCAACTAAACCCCTGAAACATAAAAAAACCCCCTTCACATACAATGGTAGTTTTATCTTACATAGCTCTAATTAAGCCCAACTTTGCTTAATTATAACTAACTATAACTGAATAACTACAACAGTAAGAATCCTGAATATTTCAGGGAATGAAAGAGTAGCAGAACACCATTAAATTGGAATGATGAATACTAAATAGAAATGACATACTCAGCCATAACAAAAACAGTCTCATCAGCTACAGTTATATTATTTTGTAGCCATACCGTTTTGTAGCAAAGGTTAAGGGATAATCTTCTGTACATGTAGATGCAGGATAGATTTTAGCTGCATACACACCACACAACACTTAACATTTGGTCTCAACAGAGCCATATAATGCCCCTTGGGACACAGTATTTTGCTGTGGTTTTTTGCCACAATTCAATGTGTCTGAAATAGAGATGCATTACAGACCATCTGACTTGTGCTTCCACAGCATGAAACAGAGTATCTGGCATGCAAAGGGGCTAACTCTGCTGGCTAGAGCTGGAAAACTGTGTACAGCAAAAGGGGCACCAAACCAGGTACCATCTTGCTAATACATTCTGCTGAGAATGGCACCTCCTGCATGCTGCCTCCAAATCTGTCCTGACTTGTGCTGAAGAGCAGTAGTCAACTCAGTCCAAAACTATAACCAGATGAACACCACCAACTAAGTGGCATGACAGCCAGTAGTCAGTACCCAGGCTCACTCTCTGGACTTGTTTCATTTAGTGTTATAGATGCAGATATCGCTTTCTAAAGGTAAGGTGTCTTATAATGTCACTCCCCTAGAAATCTAACAGAAAAATTAACAGACTTTATTCATACATAAAGGTATCAAGCTGTTATTCCCCTGCTCATGGCAGGGGGGTTGGAACTAGATGATCTTTAGGGTCCCTTCCAACCCAAACCATTCTATGATTATCTGTGAAGCATCCTTCCTTCTACTTTGTAAAGTCTTTATGGTTTACCAGGAACTTTTGGAAACAGAAACACTGAAGTTGTGGTATATGCTTATTACTTATTGAAGACAACTGATTTTGATGCAAGAAACAAAATGGGGAAACAAAGTTCATGAAACTGTATTTTTGCAACAACTTCCTACTCAACTTTCTACCAATAAAGATCTGTGAATCAGTAAATATTTGCTAACAAGATTTCTTCAAATATGCCTGAAAACACAGCTTTTAGTAAACATCAGACTTCAAATTTAATGTACATGCTTCTGCAACTACTCTTTACAAATTGTGGTAGGTGCATAAATTCATGCAGAACTGGAGCACACATAACTAAGGACATGTGGTGCATAAATTAAAGAAAAAAAAGAAGCATTAGCTGTAAGAGAAATATAGATCAATAGCATGGCTAGACTAGCTTTCACCACTAGCCTATTCATTCATATGAGACCAGTCCTCCTAAGGCAGGTCATCCTCCAGAAAAGTACAAGAACATTTTTTTTATTACTAAGTCAACACAACCATGAGTATAAACTACTTCTACCATTTTACACTAATTTTGTATTTCTGAGATTAGACTTGTGAGCAGACTAACTCAAATAACCATTTAATTTACTTCCAAAAGGAGAAAGAACCATTCCAAGCACTTAAGTGTGTACACAACTTTAAATGGGTAAGTAATTTCACTGTCATAGGACTACTAATGCATGGAAACTTAAGCACAAATGCATACAAAAATAACACCCGTGAGCTGGATACTCAAATGTAACGTAACTGTAAATCATAAATTGCATCTTGGGGCATAAACTTATCAAAGAGAAGCTGAAATTTTATTTACATTTACAGTATGAAAAAGGCTACAAATATACAAAAAAGCCAGAAGTTTTACCTTGTTCCTCCTCCATCAATAGCAAGGACTCGAATACCCCAGCCTTTCACAGGGTCTGTATATCCAATTATAGCTAAAGTCTCTCTAACAGCAGCCTGAAGACTTTCATCATTTGCCTGTCTTAGTCGCAGTAGGCATGGAATTAATTTTTCCTATTGATAAATACAAAGATATTTCATTCTAACTATAAGTTTATATCAAAAGAATCCATGCTTAAATTTACTAGTTTGGCATTTAAATATAAAAGTGATATATTAGTTAAACTGAGAGGAAAACTTACTTAAATCTGTATTTGCCCATCTTTATTTCTAACAAGGGAGAGGAAGGACTCCAATATTATGTAGTACACATAATACACCCCTCACTGATAAAGTAACTACCTATCACAATTAAACAATCAAGGTGAAATAGAAAAGCTATATTTATCAGCAGTTTAATTTTATTACGTTAATGTCACATTGGCCAAATATAAACTCAAGTATGGAGAACATCAAGTATAGCTAAGAGCTCAAGATTTTGCTGAATAAGTATCATAGTAACTGAAAATAGGAAATGCCTTCAAAGTACACTAATATTAAAACAAAACAAAAAAATCCTTACACTGAGTAATTTTAAATTTTACAATTACTACCACAAAGATATAGGGTATTATAATCAAAATGGGAGTAGTGAGTGTACTCTTTCGTAATAAAGTAACTCACATCTATTCATGTGGGTGCCTGACCTGCACCCTGCCCATATGATTCGTCTGGCCTGCACTCCATTCCCAAAGATTGCTTTTCCAGCAATTCTACAATCCATGTCACACACCTGTCACACCTTGTGGAAAAAGGCACGGGACTGAAATGCTGTGATTTGGCGAGTACTGCTAGAATAGTCTACCACCCACCTCCTGTCCTTTCACTGCAGGAAACAGAATGAGTAGGACTAGATTACATGAACTTATTTGATGGTTATACTCCACTCTGGTCATCTCTCTTCGAAGGAGGCATGCAAACAAGGATAAGAACTGTTGTGCATATGCAGATCAACTGTACCGTACATTCCCGTTGGGTGAACTGCGAAAGAGGACACAGTGTACGACCTTCATCTACCACTAGAATAAGCTATACTATCTATCCACATGACAACGCTGTATGCTTCTAAATTAAACATTGCAATCTTAAGAGCCTTAAGCTAAACTACTGATAGTTTGCATATGAATCTGCTTGAACTAGCTAAAAAAAAAAAAGCTATAGAGACATTCACATTGTAATCTTTACAAAGAGAAAATATGACACAGAAGAAAGTTTTATGTTATTCTATGCCAATCGTCTGTCAGACATTTATTTTCTGTCTAAGCATAAAGACTATCTGCACCTTAATTGCAACTCCTCTGCTCTCTGGAAATTCTAGAAGATGGTAGGTCAGTTCTTCAACCCTGCTGATACAGACTCTTCGATTAGATGATCTTCGCAAGGCTTGAACTAAAGCTCGAGTCCTGTTATCAACACTCACTCTTGCAATAATCTAAAAAAAGATAAAGTTATACAAATAACACAAAAGGGCTCTAAGGAATGTGTTAAACTTGTCAAGACTAGTTCCAGACTTATTTTAAGATTTCTCAGAAGTAATGGGCAGCATGTTGTACCAGATATCTGCTACAGGTTCCAAGTAAGCATTGCTTAAACATAAACAAGCAACGTTTTGAGTCTTTGTTTACTAGAAAAATAAATAAAGGTGGCTCACAGCAACAATACACCAAACAAACGTGTCCGCATGTGCTCAGATATATTTTTAGGGCAACTCTGAAATCACAGTATTTGGACCATAAGGATTACCATAACAACAACAACAAGGCAGCTATATCTATATTTATGTACTCTGTCTCTACATATATATGAGCTAGGTCTGTCTATATATATATATATATGTATCTCTACACACTATACACACATGTGCGCATATACTTATATACACTTTATAAACTTACATATACATATATACTTACATAAAAAGTACACACTTTTATATATGTATACATACATATACATATAAGTTTACATAACTTACATATGTCTATATGTTTATATAGTTTTTATATATGTGTATATATATCTATTTATATAAGTACATATGTACATACAAATGTATCTACACATGCATATGTACATAAGTACATACGTATATTTATGTAAGTATATATGTGTATATATGTATATTTACATATAAGTATATATACACATGTGTACAGTGTATATATACAATTGTATAAAAGATACACATACACAGAAATTATATATAAAGAAATAATACTAAGCAAAGACTTGCCTTTTCCCTCTGAAGAGACAGGTGCTTTTCTCTTTCTTCTGCAGTCTTAGCCTCTTTTGCTTTGTCCTCCTCATCTTTCTCAGACAATTCTTGTTCTGGCTGTTTACTCTTTTCTTGTGAAACAACTTTTGTATCGGATCTTAACTTGGGAACCAACCCACCAATGTAACTGTCTACAAAAGCTTGTACACTGTTACTGGGATATGAAAGAAAGTTTGCAATACTTTTTTTAGTGGAAACTGGAAGAGCAGTATTTGTCTTGTCAGCACCCAGAGTCTCTGCTTCAGGAACTAACGTAGCTGAATCCACTGTCTTTTCTTCACTCGTTACACTATTTTCTGTTGCACTAAGCTTATTCTTTTCTCCACTCTTAGAGTCCTGTAATAAAATATTCCTTTTTTTCTCTTGATCCATAACAGAATTATTACTAAAGTACCAATTGATATGATCAGCTACGAAGTTGTAAGTCTCTCCAAAACTTGTAGAAAAGTAGCTTATATGAAAAAGGTGGTTTTCAGTAGACGCCGAATCTCCTGGAGTATCTTCGGAAGTGCCACTTGAACTTATTAACATAGACTCCACATTTTCATTTGAGCAAGTGGAATTCTTTGCAGCTGGGCCTTTGTTGCAATCCTCCTGAGTTCTGGCATCTGTAACTTGTTTATCACTTTCTAGACTTGCATTGCTGTTACTTACATCTGCATTACTTTTATTTGCTTTTCCCAGAGAACCTGAGTGTGACTTTAATCGAGCTATCCGTGAAACCAGTTCACTGTGAGTGCCAGACACTGCCTTTGAAACAGATTCTAAAGTATTCTTAATTCGTGACATGCGATTGTTCACTTTTGTAAGTCCTTTGGAAGAAGAAGTTAAAAGTTTAGAAACTCTGTAGTAAAAAAAGTCATGGCTGTAAATGTATTTGTTATACCAAAATGTCCTGCTTCTGGCCCACTTACACTGAGGCTTGCTTGTATGAAAAACTCTCAGGTGAATGGCATGATTTACACTCCAGCAGACTTTAGGTCTGTATAAATACAGGTATTTGTTTCTTTGCTTCCACCAAAGACTTTTTGGGTTAATTACAAATAACAAATATGCGTCTAAAGATAAATGAACTGTCATTACTTATAAATAATTACACCTTTCCTACGTTGCTCGTCTACTTCATTCCAGAACATATATTTCAATAAATAACTCTTGTATCACAGTGTTATCTGAAAAATAAAATGAAATAAAAAAACAACAGAACAATGGAGACCCAAAACCAGTAACAAGTTAAACTAAAATCACTGAGTTGCTTAAAGCAGATGCAGCTTATTTATTCTTTCAAGCCAGATAAACATTGAAATCAAATAATCTCACGGGGATATCTACTGTTCAGGACATTTGGTAACGTCACCCCAACATTTTAATTGCAACATGCTATTCCTTAAAGGCCAGCTTCAGTCCATCTTGAGCAATATGCAACGCTTGTTGCAAGCATTGTGACATACAGAAAACTGCTTGCCAGTCTTTCCAATAAAGATAAATTTGTACCTCTTCAGCAAACTATATTGTGCAGAGACCAAATTTCAAATGAAACTGTCATTGTATGACCCTTCCTTTGCAGAATTCCTCCCAGGGCAGAAAGGACACCAATTCTTTGAGCAAAGCTTCAGTAAAACGCCACAGGTTCGAGGAAACGTTCCTATGCTAAGCAGGGGAGAGCATGCTATCGCCTACCAGGGGCACCATATAATCCCTACTCTACGGGAAAACGCAGAGGTCTCTGAGGGGGACCGGAGCTTTACACAAACCCCCGAGGGGGGC